CTGGAGGAAAGCCCTGGGAGTATTAGAGCCGTTGGGACTGTTCTCTGCCCCTCCTGAGAGGGCACACTAGGCTTGAGATACGGTCAGATGCCTCCTTCCAGAAATGTTTATCCTGTCATAACTGCCCTGGGGTGTTCCAAAATAGGGTACTGGAGTCTTAAACCTTGGGATTATTTTCTGACTTGGGCTATTTGTTAGAATATCCTGCCCAGGCTGTGGAGTTGACATGGAGATGTGAGTCAGTTGTGACAGGAACGCCTTTGAAAAATTACTCATGTTTATAAGGGTGTGCCTACCTGTTCAGCAAATAGTCACTGAGGTCCTGCTATGTTGGATGCAGTTCATGATACAAAATCAAGTCCTAGCTTGGTGGGGAGCAGATACCACACTTGCTGGCTTGTGTAAGACTCTTGGGAAGCACCGACAAGAGTGGTAATAGGTGCTCACCTCTTTTTCTTTTCTTAAGATTCTCGACTATCTCTTTGCACATGGACAGCTCTGTGAGAAGGGATTCGACCCTCTTTTAGTGGAAGAGGCTCTGGAAATGCACCAGTGTTCAGAGGAAAAGGTAGGACCCTTCTGTTTCACGGAAACCCTCTGGAAAGGAGGGACAAAGTAGCGTCCTCTGGCCAAGAACCCCCTTTCCCTACCAGTGACTACAGGCAGAGGTAGTCAGAATGCATTTTCTCTCAAGTGTCCAGATAGGCATTTGGCTAGTTTGGGTTGTTAGGTTTGACAAAGCATTGGGTTGAAGACTATATAGAGTCCCAGGGAAGGGAAAGGGAAATGACCTGGGCAAAAAGCTAGACTTCTGGATGATTGGGGAGATTGCTAGTCACTTTGCCTGGCCTGCTCCCTGGAGAGCAGCTGTTTCTGGGTTCAGTATCCTGCCTTGGTGTGCGTGTGGATTTTGGTTAGTGGGACCCATGAGTCAGCAGGATTTGGAACTGGGCATAGTTCCTGAAGGATGATGGGTTGTAGCATCAACTGGTCTGCCCTGGCTTCCTCCACAGCCACCCTCTGCTTGCTAGGGGACCTGAGAGACTCTCAAGGCTCTGGCAAAAGATGCAGACTTCCCCAAGCAGCCCCCTACATGCACATTCCTCCACTCTGCTATGTGGCCAGACCCCTCTCTTCAATCTTCATTCTCTTCTATCCCTTAGATGATGGAGTTTCTTCAGTTAATGAGCAAATTTAAGGAAATGGGCTTTGAACTGAAAGACATTAAGGAGGTTCTGCTACTTCACAACAATGACCAGGACAATGCTCTGGAAGACCTCATGGCTCGGGCAGGAGCCAGCTGAGACCAGGCACTGCCTAGACCCTGCCGTGGAACCGCCCCTGCAGGAGGCCCTGAGGAGCCCATGTGTGGGGAAGGAGAAGGGGCACACTTCCTGATTTTCTTTTGGGGGTGGAAGGTCAGGTGTGGAGACTGTGCTTGCCAGTCTCTGAGCTGGGGAGAAAGTAGGAAAGATTCGGGCATGTGAATGCCTCCAGCACTGCCCTGGCTCCTTCAATATTAAATGTATTTGTATTTTGAGAAGTGTCCTTCCCACCTTGGCCCTCCTGGGGTGTGTATGTCCTCAGCCGAAACCTGGCCCAGTTGCCAAAAGGAGTCAGGGAGAAGGGGTGGGAGGGCCAGACTCAGTGCTGCTTTAGGGCTAGATGCTTCCCTCCCCTGCACTGGTGGACTGAACTCTAATCCAAGTTGAGTGCAATTGAAAAGGTTCTTCCAGGGTTTTTTTTTTTTTTCCTCCTCCTTTTAACAAAGTCTCTTAGTGTTACACTGGTTCTGCAACGTCTCTGAGGTGCAAAGAATGCCCTTTCCCCATGGGGTGCTGAGTTGGCCTCGTCTGCCAGGCAGTTCTCATGCTTCCCTGCCCCAGCCTGTTTCATTTGGCTTGGTTTGGACCACAGTCCTCTGCTACCCAGGATTTTAGAGCCCCCTGCTCAAGGAAACAGTCATCAGTTTAAGAAATCATTGGCCCCTTCCCAGCATACTGAGTGGGGGAGAAACAGGCTGCAATAGAGTAGCCCAGCACTAACTCCACCTCGGTTCTCCTTGGAGAACAGCCTCTCCCTCCAGCCCCCTGCTCTAGGATGTCACAATGAGTTAACACCTAGTCATAGAAATCAGTCTCTTTCCTTTGTTTTATATTCTGTTGTACATCATTAAAGATCTAAATACAAAGGATATACAGTCTTGATGAATCTAATTTGCTAACTATTTTGATTCTTCAGAAAACTACTAATAAAAGTCTAAAAGGTATGTCCTGCTGTGATAATTTCTTTATTGCCAAGTGCTATTTTACTGAGGGGTTGGGGTGGGTGGGGAAGGGATTCCTGCTTGGATTTGCTGGGGATGAAACAGGCACTAACCATTTTCCGTCTTTTTAGTACTCTCTTCCCGCTATAGGCCTGTGGGACCCAGGAGCTGGCCCCGCAGTCGGCCCTGGCTTTATAAACCTGACCTAGCTCAGTCTCTGGAACCAAGGACATGCCTTCCTGCGAGACTGACTGTGGAGGTGAGACAGTCTGGGCCTTTGGGGCAATCACTCAGAAATGAGGAAGTACCTTTTCCTGTGCCACAGGCGGGACTGGATTCAGACTGCTTCACCAGCTCTCAGCGGTGCTGCTGTAGCTGAGAGAACTAGATTCCTCCCTGAAGTTTCTTGTCCTTATACTTAATGCCATCCCACAGTCCCTCTAGTGCTCTTGGCTGGCAGTGGGTCTCCTTCTTTTAGTGATCATGTGAGGAGATGGCAGAGCCTTTGGGCCACGAAGCTGGGAAGAGGCCGCCCTCTAGTGCTCAGTTCAGGCAAAGGGTGGCAGGGCTGTAGTCTCAGAAAGCCAGTCAGCCCTTCCGCTACCCTTTTATTTTTTTTATTTTTTTAAAAGATTTTGTTTATTTGACAGAGAAAGACACAGCAAGAGAGGGAACACAAACGGGGTGTGGGAGAGGGAGAAGCAGGCTCCCCGCCGAGCAGGGAGCCCGATGCGGGACTCGATCCCGGGACTCCAGG